TGATAGCCCCACACCAGGGCCTGTGATGTAGCCCCACACCAGAGCCTGTGACAGCCCCACACCAGGGCCTGTGACATAGCCCCACACCAGGTCCTGTGACAGCCCCACACCAGGGTCTGTGACAGCCCCACACCAGGGCCTGTGACATAGCCCCACACCAGGGCCTGTGACGTAGCCCCACACCAGGGTGCATGCTTTGCTGAGACACGGGCTCGTTACCAGCCCCTGGCTGCCCTTTTGGCCAAGCACCCGTGTTCAGTGAACAACCTACACAGCTCTGCAAGGCCATCCTGCTCTCAGATTCCCTTTCTCTTTTGTCCAAGTAGCTTAAAGACAGGAAACCTGGGTGGGAGCTCAGATCTTGTGCCTTTTTGAAAAGTAAAACAGACCAAAAAATAGTTCTTGACTTGGGGACTGGAAATAAAACCAACTTTTGCTGCTAATAGAGAGACGGTTTCCATCTTTACACTTGAAAATTGCCTCCCTTGTACAGAGGGAACCACCAAGTTGGGTGGAGGCCTGGCCAGCTCAGCACCGTAGCTCCGCTCAAAGGCTTTCGTTTTGTTTTCCTCTCCCCTGTGTTCTTTGATAGCCTCTCCTGCCTTTCCCACTGACTGTGGTGGAGTCAGCCTTGTCTACTAGGGAGAGAGCTGACTCTTTTGTCCTGCGTCTGATCGTGTCTGAGAGAGGCTCTCACCCCCTCCACCTGGACACTTCTGACAATAGAACTGCCAGAAGCAGCTCTCCATGTGGTCACCTGCTCTGCAACAGAGAAACGAGAGGCCACGGTGGGGCTGTGGTTGTCCATACACTGACACAGGTCACTGTGATGGAGACCCAGGCAGGGCAGGGGCATTCAGGAAACATCTGAATAGAGGACACTTCCCAAACACGCTGGTGAGTCAGGGGTGAGACTAATGCACGCGCTGGGCTAATGGCGCCCCTTCCGCTCAGTGTAAATGAGATTTCTGCCCCGCAGCTGCTACAGGTCACGAGTAACCCCGGTCCACTTGGTTATTTTTAGGAGTGGTTTGATGCTTTCCATTTCTTATCCCACTAGTTTCTTAGCAACCAGTGGCGCTCTCAGGAAAGCCCTCTTTCACGTGCTTCGGGTTCTTTGAAAATCCTGTCTTATCTCGTTCTGTGGTGGGGGCACCAAGATGGAGAGAGCAGGAGAACAGCAGGAGCAGGTCTGGAGATGCGAGCCCTGAGCTCACCTTCACTTGGTGATGAATGGGTCCATCCCACGCTCCCTGCCAAGGCTGGCCTCAGAGTGCCGTACACTCCCTCAAGGGGAAAGTCAAGTCCAGCGGGCAGAACTCGTGTGGGATCCACAGCCAGCCCGACGTCCATTTCACCCTTCCAAGGGCATTGGCAGCCTCTAGTTCAGAAAAGGGATAGTGGGCAGCCTTCCTCTCGTGGGCGGGGCTTACACACTTCTGAACACTTCTGAGCACTGCCCTGCTCTCTGGGTGTGCGGACAGCACGCAGGACGCAGACTCAGTGACGCACTGAGATAGGCTGAGCCCCACACGCCTTTGCGGGGGACCTTCTACACCATCATAGCTAAGCTACAGAATTTACCCTGGCTGGTCCTCTCTTGGAGCCCTGGTGGAGCAGTGGTTAAGAGGTCGGCTGCTAACCAAAAGGCTGGCAGTTCGAATCCACCAACTGCTCCTTGGAAACCCTATGGGGCTGTTCTACTGTCTCCTGTAGGGTCGCTACGAGTCAGAATTGACTCCATGGCAACAGGTGTGTGTGTTTGTGTGGCTCTTTCTTTGAAATGGGCTAAAAACAAATAAACCCAGGAAGGCCCACTAGCCCTGCTGTTTAAACAGCATAGATGATTCCATCAGCAGCTATTATGGCTTGTGTCTCTTAGAAGTTCTTCATCTACCCATCTTTTCACCCACCCTCCCATCCATCTTACCTTCCTACCCACCCTTCCCCTCAGCCTCCCACCCATCTTCCTTTCCATCCTCCCATCATCCTCTCACCCATCCTCCCACCCATCCTCCCATCCACCTTATCCTCCCACCCATCCTCCCATCCACCTTATCCTCCCACCCATCCTCCCTTCCATCCTCCCATCATCTTCCCGTCATCCTCTCACCCACCCTGCCTTCCATCCTCCCATCCACCTTATCCTCCCACCCATCCTCCCTTCCATCTTCCCATCATCCTCCTATCCATCTTCCTGCCCGTACTCCCTTCCATCCTCTCACTCATCCTTCCTTCCACCTTATCCTGTCACCCATCCATCCTGCCATCATTATCCCACCTATTCTCCCATCTATTCTCCCACTTATCCTCTCTTCCATCTTCCCAATCATCCTCCCATCATCCTGCCACCCATCGTCTCATCCATCCTCCCACCCATCTTTCCATCCATCCTCCCACCCGTTTTCCCATCATCCTCCCATCCATCCTCCCACCCGTCCTGCCACCCATCCTGCTGCCCACCCTGTTACCCACTTTCCCAAGTCTTGTCCACTCACCCGCCTACTTACCCTCATACCCATCCTCTCAAGCATCCCACATCTCATTCCTGCCTCCAAATACCTTGTAATGCTGGTGGTTGGTGGCCCCACTGCAGACTCTGTCTCCATTGTCTCCACCCAAGTATTAGGGCTTTGGTTGTGGCCAAATCCAAAGAAAGGGAGAAGAATCTCTTGGTTTCCCATTAGCAATTAACTGCTACAGTCATCTTACAGAGCAGGATTCAACGGTGTTGTCACCATAAACTGGTGTGTCGTGATCAGTTGCAATCTCTATTCCAATACCAACAGCTGTTAAATGTTCATCATTTGGTCAAGATTTCAAGTAGAAAGAGCTTCTAGGCTATCCCTGTGGCAACATCAGCCTCACTCACTGCCAGTCCAACAGGCTTCCCCATGTAGGAAATGAGGGGGGAGGGGAGTCACAGCCCAGTGGGAATTGGACTAGGGGTGTGCCACACATTTGAATGTTATCCATCACAGGTGTCATGGCATGAGAAAGGTCAAGAATTTTAAATATTTAAATAAGGCTTCTAAAGAAACCATCTATTCAAACATAGGAAGCTGTGACAGTTCCCCCTGGGAGAAAAGCTGTAGGTGCCGTGTGGACATTTCATTAACTTATTCATTAGTTAATGGGTCAAAGATTAGTCCTCAGGTCAAGCATTCTGAATATCTGTCCCGGGTGTACTGGACACTTGGAACCCTGTGCACAATGGAACAGAATGCTGCCCAGTCTGCACCATCTCCGTGGTCAGTTGTGGTTGGATCGTTGTGATCCACAGGGTTTTTACTGGCTGATTTTCAGTAGAGCGCCAGGCCTTTCTTCCTTGTCATCTTAGTCTGGAAGCTCTGCTGAAACCTGTTCAGCATCACAGCAACACACAGTCCTCCAGTGACAGACAGGTGGTGGCTGCTCATGAAGGGCATTGGCCGAAAATCAAATCCGGGTCTCCCCAGTGAAAGGTGGGAATGCTACCACTGAACCCCCACTGCCCCCGTGTTCCCGAAACAGTAGCAATGAATTGAGTCCTTCTTGGAGTTTTTACAGCTGGAGTGTCGTATGTGGCATGTTGGTGGGAACTGAACTACTCAGAACCCTGTGTTTTGAGGTACCTTAGGCTAGGCTTTGGGTGGGTCCCAGGACTTGAAGAGAGCAGGCTCTTCTGGGGTAGAGCAAAGGAACCAAAATGAGGGGTCTACAGATGGCGGAGGGGGCGGACAGATAGAAGATTCACCCTGAGAGATGATGGGGAGGACTGAAGTCCCAGTGAGACTAGGACAGGGCCCCATCATCTGAGCTACCATATGGTTATGACCTTGTCCTCCTCACCTACCTTGGCAGCGTCAGGGGCCGAGACCTCCCACCAAAACGCAGTCCATTCAGCAAAGCAGTTGGTGAGCATGTCTGGCGTGTGCAGGGTTCCTGAGGGACCGAGGATGGCACTCCCCTCTGTTTCCCTCTGACCAGCCCCTCCCCTTGCCAGAGGGCACAGATGTCATTTGCTGCCACTCTGCCCACCCCGTTTTCCATCGGAATGACAGGTGTGGGCTCCCAGCGTGGCTGTGCTTCAGAGCGGGCCGCCACCTCAGCCCTTGCCAGCCGTCGCCAGCCTCGGGTGCTCTGGCAGCAAACTGAACTGTCACTCCACGGCCAGCCCACGCGAGTGCCACGCCTGTCAGCCTGTCCCCTGCTCCTGGGCGTGACCCAGGGGAGATGCAGGTAGGAGACAGAAGCAGGCTGATGGATTCAAGGTCAAAGCAGTGAGGAGTGTGGCAGGAGAGACGAAGGGCCGGCTCAGGGCCAGGGCTGTGTCTAAGGCTCGAGAGCACCCCCTACAGACATTGAATCACGCCCTGAGTTCTGGGGTACTCACCTGCCCTGACATGACCCCGAGGGTAAGGTCTCCTTAAATTCTGTGCCCTAGCTGCCTCACTTGCCTCACCCTAATCCCGGCCCTGGCCACTGTCTTACCCCGACCCTGTCCTGTTCTGGCTTCTAATACTTGCTTCGTCTAGCACTAAAACACCAAGCCTGATGTAGCCGGGGTTGGGCTGTGGCCGGGACTCCTGTGTGTGCCTCCGCCTGTCCTGATGCCTCCCTGCCTTTACAGCGACCTCATCTCTTTTACAAGGAACCCTAGTGGTGCAGTGGTTAAGTGCTCAGCTGCTAACCAAAGGGTCGGCAGTTCGAACTCCCCAGCTGCTCCCCAGGAGAAAGATGTGGCAGTCTGCTTCCGTAAAGATTACAGCCTTGGAAACCTTATGGGACAGTTGTACTCTGTCCTATAGGGTCGCTGTGAGTTGGAATCAACTCAGTGGCAATGGGTTTGAGTTTTATTTTGCTTTCGGTGTGTTTTTTTTCAGTGTCTTTTATGTGGCCCGCCTGCTAGAGAGTGCACGAGAGAGGGGGAGAAGCGGCTGTCTTTGGGGCACTGGAGCCTTTCGTTCTCATTAGGAAACCGCACAACTCCTGGCGGGGGAGTCAGGGTTTGGTGCATAAAATGTCAAATTGCAGAAATTAAAAATGTAAATGCTGGCATCTAATTAACAAGTTGACAGCAGTGCACAGCTGCAAGTGACAGTGACTGATTGCCTTCTGCCAGCCTCTCCCCCAGCAGCCCAGCCCCGCCTGGCCCATCTAACCCCCAGGGAGAGAGGACATCAGGAAGGAGCAATGCTCCCAGGGGCCCTGCTGGGAACCTCTGTGTCTGCAGGGGTGGGGCTTAGAGGGATGTGAGAGAGGCTGGACCACAAAGCAGGCACGGGAGCGGGGCCCCTTCTGACCCCTGCCTCCCACTCCTGGCCACGCTCTGCCAGTGTCTTGGTTACTCCCCAGCCCCTTCCCTCTGGGCCTCCTTCTTCCAGAGCTGCAGGAGGCTCTCCCTGGGCCAGACGCAGAGCCCAGAGGGAGAGAGAGCACCCTTGGTCCCCAGATCCCCATGGTCAACAGGGGTGTCCACGACCTCAAGCCCCCATTGGCGTATGGCCTCAGATGCAGTGCTGGGAGTTTCTGTCTCTGCCCGACACGCTTGACCCCAGCTTCTTTCTTCCCACCTGCCCCTTACAGGTATTACTCAGACATCGGGAAGATGCCAGCCATCAGCGACCAGGACATGAACGCGTACCTGGCCGAGCAGTCCCGCATGCACATGAATGAGTTCAACACCATGAGCGCACTCTCCGAGATCTTCTCCTACGTGGGCAAGTACAGCGAGGAGGTGAGCCCGCCCCTCTTGGCCTGTTGGGAGGGAAGGGCAGGGGCTGGAGGAAACCCTGCCCACAGCAGCCAGGGAACCCCCACAGGCACCCCCACCTCTGCCGGGGGCCCTTTCTGCCACCCAGGACTTGGGTCTGTACTCCAAAGACTGGGACACTGCAAAAGGTCCACTCCATCAGTTCCGCGCCAAGCAGGCTCTTTTTGGACATGTAAATCAATATCTGTTAGTGACGTTTTTTTCTCTTTTTATACTTATTTTCTCCCCCTCTTTCACTGGGGCTTTTCTTTTCTTTTTCCTTTTCTCTGATCTAATTCTCTTTAAACAAGTACTTCTCAACTCCTCTGGGCACAGCCTTATAGTGTGGTGTGGTAAAGAGTGGAGTGGAGTGGAATGGAGTAGAAACGGAAATGAATGGAATGGAATGGAAAGGAATGGAATGGAATGAAAATGAATGGAATAGAACATAATGTATTTTTAGTGGTTGTGTTCTTTAGTTGGAAAACCTCAGGTAATAGCCACTACAGACACCGGTCTTCTTTCCTGGCCAATATAAAGGTGCTTGTGAGATCTTCCTGGCCATGTAGGCCTAGACCAAGTTCAGAACCTGATCCCCTGCATCTGAGTGGAGCATAACCAACTCTGTGGGGGAAGGCAGTCACAGGAGCTGAAGCCAGCCGTGTTCTCTCTGTCCTCACAGCCTCCTCACTGAGAGAGGGTCAGTCCAGGACCACAGGTTAGGGAAGAAGCCCCAGCTGTGCCCAGGCCTGCTGTCCCACAGGCCGTGAGCAGCACAACGCTGTGAACCCCAAGTGAAGGGGAAGCTGTGGTGAGTCCCTTGGCAGAAGGTCCCTGGTGTCCGTCTGTGGACTAATGGTACAGGCAAAGTTCCCACCCATCCATGGTGACGTGAGAGAAGTAAGGACGGTGTGGAGTATGTCAGTGTGAGATGGCAATTGCCTCATCATGGGAAGGACTGTCGCTAGTCCACAAGTACGCTTGTCTACTCTGGGTGTTAAAACGTCCCATCCCTATGAAATGATGCAGCAAATGGGAGTGGTCAGCCAGCTGAGAAGCTAGCAACTCTATCTTGGTCTCCCCAGTTATGAATAAATTAACTGGGCCATGAAATCCAAAGCTTGGGGGCCTACAGCCCTCAAGCCTACAGCCTCCTCGTTCCCTCCTGGACCCCCTCTGGTCCCTGCCCCTCAGACTCCCAGCGCCAGTAGATTCAGCTCCTGCTTGCCGTGGCGTCTCGTGGCCCAGACATTGTGCTGAGGGCTCTCACATATGTTACCTGACTCTCTTCTCCACTGGAGCAGATCAGAGAGGGTTTAGAAGCTCCTTTGAGCTACAGATGAGGAAACTGAGGTTTCATAGGTACGCGTTTTGCACCATTTCACCCAGCTAGAAACTGCTGGAAGCTGTTATTTAAACTCATGTATCCTGACCCTGAGTCAAATTCTAATGCGTTTTCCATCACACGCCACAACAGCTCCCTGGGACTGTCCTCCACCAATGGTGTGATCTCAGAGAAAGCACCGGTCGGCCCTACCAACCAGGCGTTAATGACCAGTGAAGGTTAGGCCTTGCTCTTCTAGGGGTATGTGCTTTTTCGTGGGGAAAGTTAGGTCAAGTGACTTTCTTAATGTGGTTTCAGGCCTCAGGGAGCTGAAGGGGAAGATTTTCCTCTTTTGGAAAGAGGGGTGGGATTTCTTAACACCCATGAAATCACATTCCCACTGGACTCTGACATTGGTTCTGGAACTGTCTGCCGTTTAACCTGCGTGAAACTGCAGCATCATCGCTGCCTTTCGCGGGCAGTAGAACATGCAGGTTTATCCAGACGGATGATGTGTGTGTCCAGTTCCCACACGGGTGCCCACACGTTGTACCCCACATGCAGGTGCCTCCCACACCTCCTGCATTAGTGTCCCAGGGCCGCTGTAACAAAGTACCACAAACCGAGTGGCTTAAAACAACAGGAAGTTATTGTCTCATGGTTCAGGAAGGAGGCTGGGTGTCCAAAATCAAGGTGTCAGCCATGTTGATTTCTTCTCAGGGCTCTGAGGGAGAATCTGTTCCTTGTCTCTCTCCTAACTGCTTCTGGTGGTTCCTGGCAATCCTTGGCTTTCCTTGGCTTATAGACACATCACTCCAGTGTCTGCCCCCATCCTGACATGGCCGTCTTCCCTCTGTATCTGCATCTCTTCTCCTCTTCTTATAAGGACACCACTCATTGGATTGGGACCCACCGTACTCCAGTATGACCTCATGTTAACTGATAACATCTTCAAAGACCCTCTTTCCAAACAAGGTCACGTTCACAGGTCTAGCAGGTTAGGACTTCTCAGGTTAGAACACAGTTCAGTCCACAATCCCTCACCATCTCTGTTACCCAGAGCAGGCTGCCTACTTAAGCAGCAGCTTTATGTGTGCACACGCACATGTGTTTCCAAACCTTTAACAGTGTCCACACCAACCGTGTGTGCCATAAGCGCACAGTCCCTCCCCCCTATACATACACACGAGTGAGTAACCCCGTCCTTTGCCTTTCCACAGATCCTTGGCCCTCTGGACCATGACGACCAGTGTGGGAAGCAGAAACTGGCCTACAAACTAGAACAAGTCATAACCCTCATGAGCTTAGACAGCTGAGAACCATCCTCCAGGGCTGCCCTGGAGGGGGACACACCAAGCCGTGCCTCAGTCTCGATCATCATCTTTACCAAGTGCAAGTTCCGACTGGCACCAGCCACACCACCCGCGCAGCGCCGTCCTTCTCTCTGCCTCTTTCTGTCTTTCCCTGCTCCCTGGATCCCTTCTCTTTCAGTTACTCTGCTAACGCCCACCTTGGTTAGTCTGGATGGCCAGGCCCGCAGTGAGGGAACCGACCAGAAGATGTCAGATGCGTGTCCCAGCAGTGGCTGACCCTGAGTCAGTAGCAGGGCCCCGTCATGGGGAGGAGCCCAGGATGGAGGATGGGCCTGTGCTGCTACTTCACCTCCCTCTTCTTGGGAGTCCCGCCTCGGTCCAAACCTTGGCCTAGGAAAGAGGCAGCGAGCTCAGTATTGTCTTCTCCGGGAAGACATCACCTGGCTTGCCTTTCCCACAGCTCCATCTCCAGGGGTGGTCCCTCTGCAACTGTGAGAAGAAAGGCCACTTCTCCCTTGGTGTCGCTGGGGTGGGTGTGCATGAGGAGTGGGGAGGAGCCCCGTGGTGCTGCCCCACACCTGCTGGGATAGTATCCGGAGGCCTCCTTCCGCCTTCTGTGGTTTTCCTATCGCCTTGGAGCCCTTCCCAGTGGCCACAGGGACCTGCCTGCCCAGGCTCCTCCCCTCCCTGTGGGAAGCTGGCTGGAGACAGGGTGGAAGGATAGCAGTTACATTCCACCATTGGAGATGCTCCAAATCTGGCTCCCAGTGGCAGAAACGTAACCTGCAGGGGAAGAAAAGGAACAAGAGTTGTGTCCACCTTGGAAGCCGAATTTCTTGTTTTCCATTTACCTCCAAGTTCAAGCAAATCACAACCATCGTCATGGGTCCAGTCCATTGTCAGAGCTTAAGTGCTATGTAGAGAAAGCGCTTCCATCCTCCTTTGTCACTGTTCATCAAGTCAATGTGAAATGCAGGGTGTGTCCAGGAGATCCTATCTCCAGCTGTCTCCATAGCTCCACCTCCACCTCTTCCTGACAACCCTCTAGAAGGCTGGGGCAGACGGCCTAGGCCCCATTCCCCTGCAGAGTTGGGTGCCGTTGCTATGCAGATGACTTTGTCACTGGGCCAGCCAGACGTCCTCAGGAATGATCTCATCCGTATCTCAGTGGTCTCTTTCGTCATTCCCTTCCTCACCTCTTCAGCAGTCATCGTTGAAAGAAACACGGTCAAGCACAGCCTCAGAGAGATAAATCCAAATCCCATCCAACCTCAACACCCAGCATGTCATGTCAGGAGGGGACGGAAGAGTCAAGCTGAAGGTCCTGGCCAGAGATGAGAGGAGGGACGTATGACTGACCTTGGCCCTGGCATCTGTTTCTCCCTCTGTCCTCCCGTCTCTCCATCCATCCTTTCACCAGCCAGGCAGCGAGTGCTCAGAGATGAGAATTGGGTGAACTGGGGCCAAGGTGAGAGTTGGCCTAAAGAGGGTCATGGAAACCCAGAATCTTGAAGGGAACTAGAGTCTGGTCCAGTCTCTGGCCACATACAAGAATATCTCCCAGCAGCTCTGGCCTCCAGTTGTCCACAACTGTAAGAGACTGGAGAAGCATCATCTCATGTGGGGCTGGGATGAGGGTTCCATAGCCATATCTTCACTCCCCAAGCCTCAGACACATCAGCATCATTCCTTGCCATCCACTGAAAATAAGCTAATGGAAAGGGAAAGGAGCCGTACCATTTCCAGAAAATTCCATGGAGAGTCTTGAGCTTTTTCAGAATGGTAGCCCCTTTGGATATAAGTATGTATGTGTGTGCATGTCTGTCTGTCTGCCCCAGGAGAAGGCAGAGAGTCCCCGTACAGGGGGATTTTGAAGAGTTTCCCTTCTGTACCCCCTTGCTTATCCATCCATTCATCCTGCAGCTTCAGAACATTTCAACGCTTGCTTTTTATGCTAATGGTGGATGAGGCAGAGAAGAAGGAGATGTTTCCTCTCCACAGGAAATCAGGGTGGCCACCTGCAGAGGCCGAGACTGGAGGTGGGATGGTGTTGACCCAGAGCAGGACATCCTTCGGCATCAGTGGAGGACAAATGGTGGAAAAGACTCAAGCAACCTAACCAACAGGAACAGGAGACTAGAAAAAGATGCATCTTAAGGGGAAAAATAACCAAAGGTTTTGGCAATTGAAGTACCAGGTGGAGAAACCTGGAATTTCTATCCTTGATCATTTGATTTCCTTTCCTCCCAAGAAGCCACGGGACCTGGCCGACCAGAGAGGAACACGTGGGAGGTGGCCAGAGGCAGCGCCCCGGTCACTACAAGATTTTTGCACATGTGAAGGGTCAGGGAGGAGAGAGATGCAAACATATTTAACACAAATTTGCAGAATGGAAGCTGTGTGTGGTGCGAGTGTGTGCGTGTGTGTGAGTGTGTTTTGATTTATTTTTTAAGTTTTGCACAGTTAGAGAAAAAAAATGAACAAGCAGACAAAAGACTGTTACCATGGTTCTGCTGAAGCTTTTATTTTTTATGGGATTATTATTGTTGTTACTTTGTCGGTACAGAACTCTTCTCCATGTTTTTGTTATAAGAGAAATTTCAAACACCTCAGAGCAGCGTACATGGCCGGAAAAAAGAGGAGGAAGGAAGACGAGTTTCCTTGCTCTCCTTGTTTCTCCTGGGTAGCATGTATGCGGATTTTACTTTCACTGCTGGGATTTTTGTTTCTGGCCCTTTGCTGGCCCAGAGACCCTTTGCCTGCTGGGGAATCAAGAAATATCTCAGAGTCACCCAGAGCCACAACCCAGCTTGCCCGTAAACATTCTCTTTCCTTTTGCTGTTTGTTTTCCATTTCTTCAGTTTGGATTGTTGCTGCACGTGTAGTACATGTAAAAGCAAAGACAGGCAGAGCTGTCCAGAAGCTGTCCTTTCCCCCACGTTTTCTTCCAAACTCCCCTAGAGAGCGCTCTCCTGTTGGCAGGCCAGAGACCAGAGCAGACCCAGGCAGCGTGCAGGCCAGGCACCCAGAGAGAACGGGATCCCAATTCGAGAGAAGGAGATCCTAGCTCAGCCCTGGGGAGGGGAGACGAGGTCCCCTCACCCCTTTCTCCAGGTCAAAGTCAATTTGCAGGGTCACAGTTCTGTTTAAGGTGGAACCTTTATCTGACCCCCCAGGTTCTGGGCAGAGGGCAGAGGAGAAACGGTGATCTCCCCCTTCACCCCCTGGTGCCCCTCTTTCCCTTGAAGCCATCAGGGTCAAAAGGGTACCAGGAGATCAAACAGCCAAAGTAGCCTCAGTTAGGTGGGATTTTGGAATGCTGGGGAGGGAGATGGGTTGAGAGCCAGCAGGTGACAGGAGGGGCTTTATAGAGTCCTGAATTAAAAAGAACAGGTGGAGGGGCACCAAGGAGGCCAGCTGTGGGCTGGTCATTGCTCCCGAGGGCAAGTCTCCCCAGTGTGGCCTTTGCCCAGGAGCCATCTCTCGCTGTAAGCAGACGCCAGCCTTTCTCAGTAGCTGCAAATGGGGCTAGTGAGAGCAGTTCGCTGTATGTCAGTTACTTCCTCCGGAAGACCATTTTCTTGCCTTCTTCCTTCAGTGTGGTTTTAAGCATGGGGACAGAGGATAACCCGAGTGTCCGCCAGGCCAGGGTCACATGCACACCCAGAGCTGGCCCCTGGAGCCCCCTTCTGGTGAACTGAGGGCCATCGAGCCCCCCAGAGATGGCTGAGTAGAGCTATGGCCAGAGAGACGCCATTTCAGTGAATCCCAGAGTTTGAGGCTGGAGGTCCAGGACTGTTCCAGGGAAGCAGGAGTTGCTGGCAGGTTAGGTCTCTGACCAAGCCCTCTCAAGCCCAGCTCTCGCATCCCAGGCCAGAATTAATGTTGGTGTACTGTCCTGACAGCATCCCCCCCCGCCCCGCCACCTGTCTGGCTTCTGAGTGTCCCCTTCCCAGCTGTGGGCATCCTCCCCATACCTCTTACCCACTTTCTGCACGAGTCACCTCCGCCCCCAGGCCATTTGCCACTAAAATACTGGGCTGCCCTGCTCTCTCTGGGGACAGTGCAAACCCCTGGGGCTGCCCTAGGTCCTGCCTCCCCTTAAAATGGGGCCTCGCCATGCCTCCCCAGTGCAGCTGATCTCCCAGATGACCGTCACTCCAAGAGGCAAGCGTCCGCTGCTGCTTCCAGACCCTAAGCAAAGCTGTGATATTCCAGGTACAAGCTTTGGAGGCTGTTTTCTGCTTTCTTCCCCAGGACTGAGGGCCCTGCCTTTGGCTTCACAAGATTCGAAGTCAAATCCTTAATGGAGTGAAGGGCCAGTGTTATTACTTATCAAGAACAGAGAGCCACGGAGGCAGGGAAGGCGTGGGAAGGCACTCTGCAGGTGGAAGGCCCAGACCCTCCTTTGGAGCCTGTCCCTTCCCAGAATGGGCCATCCCAAAGAGCAGTCCCAGCGCGGGTCCCAGAGGCCTCTGAATGAATAGCCTCCAGGTCATCAGTCCCCGGCTACCCGCAGAGAAGCCCAGCTCCCTTCCCTGCTCCTACATCATACCCAGGGTCTCCCCCAGCCCCTCACTCATCCTGTCAGCTCTCAGGATGGGCGACAGAGGACCCCCAGCCCACTACCCTTCCCTTTTTTTAACTGTGTGCAGACTGTTTATTTGGAGTTCTGTAGTAGATTTTTTGTTCCTATGTTATAACCTATTTGAGATTCAGGAGGGAGCCCAGGTGTGGATATGAAATCCAAATTAGCAGGAGAGGAAAAAAAGCTTGACCTATGACTTCCGAGGGGATGAGAGAGCCTGGGGGGTTGGCCTCCCCCTCACTGTTAAAGAAAAGGGTCGGGAGGTGCTGGGAGGTGGGGGCATCCTCTCCAGCTGTAATATTCTCAGTGCTTCGCCGCGCCTGTGATGGGTGGGGCCTCACGGTACCTCCTGCCCTTACCCTCTCCGGCGTTCTGCGGTAGCAGCAGAGAGCCTTTTACAGAGTAGGAAACTGAGGCACCGCCACAGACAAAGGTGAAAAGGCAGCTCCTGAGAGAGGCCAGGGACTCCATGGGCCTCTCTCCTC